TTCCACAGTATGTTTTAAATCTATGCCAAATTTTATTGAGATTTATTCTGGACTTTCACAGAAACATCCATCAATACATCTAAACATTCGCATTTATAATATTTGTAAGATTACATGAATAAAAGTATTAGCTTCTAGATACACCATAATTACAAATTCTTGTCCGCGTCATTTGGGTACGACATTAGCACAGAGTGAATTTCGCTAAGATAGCGAAGTGTCCACTACCCGATATATTCAATAAGTTAAAAGGTTATTTTCACGTTGCCCAACTTAAGTATTGTTAGGAAGAAAATCTGACACTGTGCCGGTGTACTGGCGCAACACTAGCCTCACTAAAATGCCGACATTTGTGTCCCCTCACTATTAATTCTGACACTGGACTTTGTAACGAAAGCGCGTCATTCGCGCCAAAGGATTCTAATTAATAATGTCTAAAAGTATAAAGCAAAGGATTAGAGATATTTCTCTCTTCTAAAACTCCCCTTTCCCATCAAATCCACTTCCTCAGTTTATGTAATAAAGGATTGAGTACATAGTACATACAATAACATTCCCGGAGTCAAGTCCCATGGCGAGGAGGCTGCCGTCTGCGGTGAGGTCACAGCACATGATACGATTATTCAACTTGTACACCTGTATGGGCTGCAGTTCTATCTTATCATCTGTCTTTAGTTCATAAGTCTGAAATTATAACAACAAAAAAAAATCAAGATCTAATCTTTGATTTAAATTCAGTTAAAATTAATTGTTATTACATATATGTTCTATTTTTTCGTAGTTCTGTTCTGTTTCTTGTTTATGGCTCTCCCTCATCGGATTGGGCCAGTGTCAAGTGTTTATGGTTCTGTTTAAACTTGTTAGAGACTGGCAACAATACTCTGCTTGTAGAGAAGTCTTGTGAATAAACAAGTGATTTCGTAGTTTTAAACCATTAAACACAAAATATTGTATTTTTAACAACAATTTTAATTTTAGTGTGGGGCTTAGAATTCTGTGGTGGGGGAACTACGCAGCGCGCAACTCAATGTCGGCTGCCAAAAATATTGAATAGTACAAATATAACAGTAAGAAATGATTTAAACTAACCTGAAACCTATGATAATCATCGCAAATAGCCAATATATATTTCTGGAAAGCTGCACAATTGATATAAACATCCGTCTGTCGGCCATTCAATATATTCTGGACCTGCAGATTGCGATCCCATAGTTTAACTATAGCGTTGGTTTCCACTGTGATATGACCGACGTCATGTACCCAGAAGCACGACACGAGACTGCTGGCCTTGCACAGTCGCCTTCTAGTGTCGCCATTGGGAAATAGACGATCTCTAGAACTTATACTGGCATCGCTACTGGATGCTGATAATTTCTCGGGGCTGATTTTCTTCTTAAAACCTTAAAATACAACATATTAAAAGTAAATTAACATGAAGGAAAGAGAAAAAAGTTTTTACATTTTTATGACGTCATCAGATAAATATAAATTTTACTTAAACCTGTGACTTATTAATTGTTCAGCATACGAATAAAATCATAGCAAAATATGAGACTGAATAATACGGAATTGAACATAAAAAAGACCAATTTTAGTATAATATTATTATGCTACTGCCAAATATTCTCAAACCAATATATATATTTCAAGATCTATTAAAATATAGTATAAAAAAAAAACTTACCTTGTATATCATTTAATATTTCCTGTGATCCCAAATAGCAGTTACCCCGTTGAAGCATTTCAGATTTCCAATCTCCATCGGTAGTAAACCGATATGCCATCAGACATCTATTCTTACCGGCAACTATCAATAAATCTGGGTTAACAAAACTCATATATAACACTGGACTGTAAACATCTAAAATGTCTTTAATTTCTTTAGTTCTTAGTGCATATTTAGTGACAATTCCTGTACTCAGTCCATAGATAATGTATTGATTGCACGGAGATATTTTAACTGCTGTTATTTGATCATCACTTTTAGGTGATATTTCCGTAATGAGTTTTCTACCGCGCATTATCTGTCAATAGTAAAACAAATGGTATAAGAATTAATCTATATATATAAAAGAAAGTCGTGTTAGTTACACTATTTATAACTCAAGAACGGCTTTACCGCTATTGCTGAAGATAGAAGAAGAAGAACAACGGAAAGACTCAATGTTGATGAAATTTGGCATAGGTGTAGGACATAGTGTGGAAGAACTCATAGGCAACTTATAATTTTTTTTCAAAACCCGCGCGGACGGAGTCGCAGTCGGCAGCTAGTAAAGCAAAGTTTCAATAAGAAATGAAAAAACGTCGCAAAATAAATAAATAAAATGTATTAGCAATTGTTTGGAAATTAATTACTTGACAAATAATTTTTAGTTCGAAAATGGCAAAAATCAAATAGGCACAAAATCCCTCGTCGTATAGCCAGTCTATTTATAGATATGTGTGCTTTTACCTGTATATTATTTTTATCATCAACAACAGCCAGCAAAGGTTGTATGCCTCCATCATTATTTCCATTACAAATTCCCTTCAGATTCAAAGGTTTTAGGTTATGTCTGTCCAAACTCATAGTTTTCTTTGCTAACTTCTTCTCTATTTCTTTATGAGTGACGAATGATTTGTGTCGTCGTGGTGTGGTATCTTGACTCTGAGTGCCACTGTTGGGCGTGGTGTTGGGAGTCTGTGGGGACACAGCGCCCATGAAACTCACGTCGAAAGTTGTTGTTAGACGAACTTTGCTGTTGATATTAATAAATGTGAATATATTGAAAACCTACTAATATTATAAATCCAAATGTTTCGATGTATGTATGGAGGGATAGATATTTGTTAGAAGATATCTCCAAAACAGCTGCATGGATCTCGCTGAAATTTGGCATAGATGTAGACATCGCCATAGGCTACTTAACAATCTTTTTTTTTTAATTTGGCTCAGTTGCACAAAAGTACAGGAAGAGAAGTTTTCAAGAAAGTGTTGTATTAAAAATACATTGGTATTTTGAATCAATACGCAAAAAGTACGCGCATGTTCGTGCTTACACGAAATGGTATTTAAGACTTAAAATTCTCATTATAAATTTTCAAGAAATAAAATCATATATTGACATCTAAACCTGTATTTCAACTCACCTATTCCTATGTGTATTCTGCGAGACAAAAGATGCGTCTAAGAACCAGACTTTGGCTGTATTCTCGACACTGCCTGTGCCTGTCAACAGCACATCGGAGCCCGGCATGAAGTCATCCCACATCATAACCTCACTTACAGCCATTGACGTTACATTGCTACAAGTTACCATAAACACAATCAATATTTTATTTACATTAAACTTATTAATATTAAAACCATGGATATTGTCAAATTCATAAAGTAAATTTGAGAAAACTGATAACATGTTTTTGTTGTTTTTTCTGGAACACCAAAAAAACT